GGAGATACACGGGTGAAACTGGTAAAAACTGGTTTTTGGTTTAGATCAGTAACCGTTTCGTCGGTTAACGATTAGGACAGTAGTATCCACCATCCAGAAGTTGCAAATTCGACAGCAATGCAGGTGAGATTCGAGAAATTTAAGAACTCACAAGGAATTCCATGTATTCTACAATGGAGGAACTTGGGAACCTATCACACACAATTCCACTGACGCGATTACAAAAGTTGACACATATAATTCCAATATGAGTACTTCAAACTAGATGTGTGACAGCTTCACCTCCACAGCTCTTGAGAACAGACTTGAAGAGGTGGAACTGTTGATCAGCGTTGCTGTCCGCAGCATCCTATCTTGTTTTTTCGAGTATCACGATTCTATAAGCATCCTCAGGAATCTTACTAGTATTTTCAGGCATATCTCTAGCATCCCTGATGACACGTCCAGCTTTCATGAGGATACCTGTGGCATCATTATACTTGAAAACAACGACAGAATCCAGCGGGCAGCTAAGCTGGTCAATAGCTTTAGCTTTTGAGAATTGGAGTTGTCACATACCTATTCCAAACACTGAATCCTACTTGATTTGTTTGAATTCCATGAATTCCTTGAATGTCCAATTTTTGGATGGTTGATATATCTTGGTTAGAACCGGTGAAATAGTGACGGTATATCAATGAATGATCATCACGTTGCTTTTTTAACTATTCATTGGTTGACCACCAACTGCAAGGCGTCCTTATCTCTCGATCGTGCACAAAATGCAAAAGAAAATGTTTACAACGTTTTCACGCACATTGTTTTCGAAGTCTACATAAGAGAGAATGACGTTTCTTTTGTTGAAATATCTTACGAAGTGGTAAATATTTGCAGAAGGATTTCATAATCTTAGATACACTTGAAAATACTTGTCGGAATTTTCTAATTGCATTTGAGTCTAGTGTGTAACAGTGTTGAGAATGAAGATGAGAGTGACTGAGTGAGTGGACTAGGTGAAGGCTGCATTGAATATTATTTTTTCGAGTGTACCAGAGTTTAAATTGACTTCTTGGGAATTGAATGAAACTTTCAGAGATTGCAGCACATGTACTTCTAAGCATAGCTGTAGATTTAAGAAATGTTAAAAGCTTTTTGAAAGGGGCCTTATATGATGGACCAGATAGGGTCGCCTACAATAACGGAACCTATCCTAGCTCCTCATACAAATGATAGAAGTCCAAAAAACTTACCATAGATACTACTCATTGAGGTGATTACTTTTTTATATCAGTTCTTTTTCTGCCTCGTGTTTTGTTTTCCTTTGAGGAAATGCTATAGAGAATGCTTAGTTTTGACGTTTTTTGGGCTTAAACATTTCTACGAAGTCTACAGAAATTTTCAGCTTTTATTAATGCTCTAGGATCGCTTAATTATCCTCTCTCTAACGCTTAAACTCTCATATCTGTAACTTGCTTCAGGATAGAATGGCAAAGCCATGTTTCAGATTTACTTTGAAATTTCTCTTAACTTAGTACCTCTCTCAGTTAAAATCATCGGATTCACAAAATCTTGAAGCTTTTGTATGGAATGTATAACAGCTCTAACAGTCATTTTCTTCAAAAAGATTCAAGACAGATTTTCTTAGTTAAATCGCGTTGGCTAAAAACAGAAGTTTAAGGGTTGATAGAGCTAGATGTGCTGATAAAGTTCCGCTATGGAACAGGCTTTATAAATCCTTTTTGTTTTTGCTGAGGTGTGGAAAGTTGCAAAAAATTCAAATATATGTTCCAAGGATGAGTATGCCATTCAGTGCACGAGCAAGCTACAGGTCTGAGAATTTCAGCATTAGATAGAAGATAGTTAGACAATTCAAGAGCATTAATAAAAGTTGAAATCCGGTGTGCACTTCAAAGAGATATTCGAGCCCGAAAAATGTCAAAAATTAACATTTACTGAAGCATTTTCGAAGAAGATGGTGTGAGTGTGGGTATCGTTTCGATTCACATCCACATCCGGATCAGACTCCGGTCATGAAGTTCTCTGTTGATTAAATCTTTATTATCAAATTTCAAGTGCATTCTTTTCAAAGAAAAAATGTTAGTTAATTGTGCAAAAACTCATTGAATATTAGTTAGACGTATAACAGTGAGTTTGTTAAGTTTGTGTATGACGTGGCATGATTGGTATAACTCTTTTGCCAATGATTGTTTCTGTGAAAAGTAAGTCTTTAAAGAGTGGTGATGGGAGAACATAGAGGAAAAAAAGAATAAGTTGAGGTGTAAATGAAGTATAATAAGTAAATAAAGTCAAGTGAACAAACCAAAGTTGTTCATCATAAATGCAAATATCGAGAAAGAGAACAATTATTTGAGGTAGTTGGGTAAGAAAACATATAAATGGACCAAGAAGAAGATCTTTTTGCTGACGTGCTTGTTGTTTAAGAGTATCAAGAGCAGAACAATGATGAATATGTGCCTTAGAACGACCAATACTAATTATTATTACCAATGCAACAATAACATTAATACAAAAGAACTAATCTGATGTATCAATGATATATATTGCATAAAAGATTGTTCATTGGATTCATTTTCAAGAATACACCAAGGATGAAGGTTACTTGAATGATTGATTAATTTATATTGATTCAGATGAGGATACATTGAAGCAAAAACAAATGTAGAGAGCAATACACTAAGAAAAACAGCTGATTTAGGTTTTCTAAATGAGGGAAATTGTGCCGGTAATGTTGCAGCTATTGCTCTTTCGACTGTAACAAAAGCCGTTAACCAAAGGCTTACATAATTGAGAGAAAACATCAAATAAGGTAAACTCTTACATAATACTCGATTAACTTCTTCATTAAGAATAATTTGATCAATCATATGAAGACAAGTAATACGAATGAGTAAAGTAATAAAGATAAGCTGACTTCTAATCGAATTAATAAGAAGATAAATTCCAGTACCCATTCGACGAGCTCTAAGTCGAGCAAATGTCAATAGACAAAGTCCATTGAAAAGCATCCCGAAGAGAAAAAAAAGACTAGGAACAATGGAATGATAATTATTCCATTTTTTTCTTTCGAAAAAGTATTCCAGAGAAATAGAAAATTGACTTGGTGAAAATAGACAAAGTGTACCCGAAACACATTTTGGACAAACACAAGTGAAATCACTTTTATTCTGTAAATTACCTTGAACGCAATAACCTTGATTATAACAGTAAGCACAAGATGTTTTTCGTTGATGATAAGATATGCGTTCAGTTTGTTGCAACATTGAGGAATTCCAATAACAAATATAATCTTTCAGTAGAAAACAGCCATCGCGCATTGATTCTTGACAACAACTCTTCAAATATTTGATTGATTGAAGTTCAGTTTCTTGCAATGGCTAACATCGCTAGAGTTGAACATCAAGATCGACAGAGAGATTTCGAAAAATGGTCGAACAATTAATATAGAGTAGATGAAGAATAATGTCTACTGATCGCTCAAGAGGTTCAAATGTAAAAAGTAGACCAATTTCAGGAAGATAGTCTTTCGTATTACGTGGATCGCGCATATTGATCCCTGTACTAATAGGAAAATTTGTTGATGGATAAACAAGAATCTGTTGTCGAACACGTGGATAATCAGAAGTTATCTTCAATAATTGAAAAAGATATGGTAATTTCTTGAATTCCTTTCGATTGATAGTTAATAGGGCGTCTCGAACATTGCACATCAGTTTATTACATAGGCACCAAAAACCAGTTGGTGGTTGATTAGAAATAGGATAACATTCCATATTTGTTTGACATGGTTGCGATTGTTCACATTTAATGTTACGAACAAAACAATTTGGTTGAAGATATCCATATGGGCAATTACAAATATTTCGATCTCTTACAAGAAAATGCAAAGCACATGCAACGTTCAATAATGTTTTTTCACAAAAATGTCCTTGCCATTGACATAAACATAAATGTTGATTATTATTCATTAAGTAACATGTTCCATGGTTGTGACAAAGATTTGTTGAACAAAATAATGAAAGAACATTTGATGAAAAACGTAAGATTTTTGCCAGACGAAAAACAGGTAGAAAATTGAATGGACTCATTTGATATTCCCATGCCGCTAGAAAAATCATCGAATGATAAACTTCAAAACGTACTGAATATAATCCGTGAGGTCTTGGCCGGGAATAGAGTAAATAAAGCTTATATTTCACTCTATTATCTTGATTAATGTCGAAGATGAGTTGATGATCGATAATTTCACTATGATTGTAAATAAGGGTCACCAAAACAATTAAGACGACTGGGATATCAACACAATGTCGTCGATCGAACCAGACACGTACAGTTACTCGTTGACTATTGTATTGGTAACGATTACCATAATAACTCGGTGGAAAAAAACAGAGAGATTTTGTTTTGTTGTATCTAGTTAAATAAAAACCACGATTACAATAACCATAAAAAGGAAATGTGAGTACTTCATTTGTTTCGGAGACTGCCGAGAACATATTAACAACATGATCTGTTTCTCGAGTAGAGGAATGTTGATAGCAAGATCTTTCATAGTTTCATGCATGATGATNAATATACAGAATACATGGACGTCTGAACATCCGTAAGCTGAATTACATCGACTAGGCTTACACGCTCTTCTATCTGCACATCCAAAGTATCCTGAGGAACACCAACTTCGATTCCAGTGGCAAATAAGTTCATCTGTTCGGTCAAGATAATGATAAATTCCATCACATATTACCGTAAAATGTAAACATTTTGTTTGATTGTCACACGAGAAACGATCTTCTAACATCAAATGATCTGAACAAGAAAAGACATTACGTTCATCGCGGCCACCTAAACAATCAAAATGACCATCACCAGCTTTAATATACAGAATACATGGACGTCTAGATATTGGATCTTCAAGATAATATTGAGTAATACAAAAATGTTCATTTGTTCTATTACATATTTCTTCAAAGTTCCATCTTCTTGATCCCTCAGGACAATTTAATTCGTCTTCTCCATCATCACAATCAAATTCTCCATCACAGAAATATTCTTCACTAATACATTGACCTGTTCGATTGCATCGACGCGCAATGCTAGTACAGATCCATTGAGAAAAATTCTGTTCATCTTGACACTGGAAATTCTATCTTCATAGATTCCATTCGCTTGAAAAACCCAGCATGGATAGTTTTCATCAACATCACATTTCATAGATGACCAATGAACGTTTTTAGAAATTTCATCACTTCCATCGGCACAATTATTTATCCCATTACCTAGTTGTTGATAACTGATATATTGATTAGGTGATGAAACTGTTTCACATAGATATCGATATGGT